GGTCACCTTCGTCATGCAAAGCTAGTCACTGTGGAATTCATTAGATGCACATCCAAATGCCTACACGATTCTGAATGAAGTTCTTGTATGTGGCCCATCCTTGAAGGAACAATCTGCGCTGGCTACTCGTGTAACAATCCTTCTGAGCGGCTGTAAGATCAACTGGAGCACGTCCAGAAAGAGGACAGGATAATATGAAGACAGAATAGATGTAGAAAATAAATAAACGTTTCGGATTTCATAATGAAACTGTGATGCTGCAATTTATAGATCAGACCGTGGAAACTTGTTTGACTGCGTGTATGCGTTCACCAATGAAATGCAGAGCTGTAAACTATGACGTCAACACGACAAATTGCTATTTGATGTCTACTGCCATGGCTGATGTCGAAGCCAATATTGGTAAGAATTTTCAAGAGCTACAGTAACTGGGGTGTTTCTCAAAAGCTGGATACTGTTGGAAGACAATGCTGAGCACAGCTTTTCCTTGAGCTTCAAGGCGCTGTTTCAATTGATAAACTACTGTTACAGTTCAAGATGAATCGTTTGACTATTACGAACCGGCATGTTTCACGGAAACTCATGACGAAGTCACTCAAATCCTTTCTGCCGATGATATTTTTCTTCTCCATGAGCGAAATAGAACACTCCGTCAGGAGTACCGTAACATTCAGCATTGGAAGATTGACGATTTGACTACGTGCTGGTTTGTTTCTTTTAATTTTGAATTATTGTTTGCCTTAAGGTTTTAGCAGACTGTGCATTATATTCACGCTTGTTTCCGCCAGAAATGTGTTTGCCCTGGTACACCGATATATTTTTCAAGGCTCGGAACATAGGAGCAACTTCAGTGCTCGTTAAAACGGTCAAATGAAAAGAAAATAGGCAGAGATATCATTCCTCGTTCCTTCCTTGTCACAGCCATGTAAAGTAGATTCAGAGGCGAGCAAGGCAGGATCGAGGAACGGAATTGCCGCCTATTTTCTTTTTTTTTGTTACCGTGTTATTAGGGCGTCGAAATTGCTTCGATGTTCTGATTCGCTAAAATTGCGCGAGATTGGGATTGGTCGCTGTCACGGCCTTCAGCGTGCTAATGAAGCAGTTCAGGATAATCAGCTATTGTACCTTTTTGGTGCCCATCTCATTTTTAAAGACATAAGAAAAGGACGTAGTGGTAAACCTCACCCTACCCATACGACTAGCGTGGTATAGATCTAGGTCTTACGCGAGCAGTTTGGTATAGAATGATCATACTTCTTATTCATTAGTGCTTCTGAGAAACAAAACCTTTGTCCGGCACTTGATGTGCTTCTGATCAAAGGCTCATCAATGGCGCTCCCATTCGAACCGACCTAAATTTAACACGATTCAGAAATTTTCCCGTTCTGAGTGTGAATTTCTGTGATTTCGAGTTAACATCACCATTCACGTGTTCTTCATCAGGGAATGACAGAAGACATTGCACTTCAGGGGTTGACTGTCGTTAAAATCTACCAGTTAGTAGGGGATCTCGATGTTCTGAGTTCCTCCCTCATGAATTGTGAGGTTTTTGTTTTGAGTGTACCACAAGTTCAACTACCGGTATAGCTCGATGCAACTGATCAATTCCGGGATGCAGCTACCATTCCGCTCCCTAGAATCGTAGTAATTTACTGCATGAGATATGCCCTCTACAAAAACGAGGAACAAGCGATGTAAAAGCCAATGTTTCTATCCTCCTGGTACTGTACTGATCTGAATTCAGCGCTATCGGAAGGTAGAAGGCATAAATGCGTTAGCCGGAACACTGTGGAATTTGACCCTTGGACTACACGCGAAAGTGGCCGCTTGCCGCTTCACCGCTCCTGCTTATTAATTGCTATTAATTACATAGTCATTTCAGCAAAATGTGAGATTAGCTTTGAGCAACAGTTTTTTTAAGGTTGTTATGTTGCAATGCCACCAAGTTCATCTGTCGTGCGTTCTCATATTCGGAGTCAATGCGAGAATGCATGCTGTCATCAAGCAAAGTTGGAATAGCCCAAGATTACGAAAAGTTCACCCAGAAGAGTTCAGCATTCAACCTTTACGTGCGACATGGACATGGATCTGCTGGTTACGGTACGTGAACTTCTAGCGTATGGATGTACTTTCTTTAGTGAACGTTTTTAGACCATGCCACTACAAAAAGTCCGCCGCATACCACTCAAGCGCCTTTCCCTACGTTGGTCCACGATTCAGCGCTAAAACAAGCGATTAGTAAAAATGCGCTGGAGGAGCCTGTCTTCAGCTTCAGCAATTCGCTCTTTGTCACAGAGACCAGTGTTCGGCGGACGTCTCCACGACCTCCCACGAAGGCCACCACATCGTCATTCAAAGGTCTGTGCCTAGTTGATCATAGAGTTCTATTTTACTAATATATCGTATATATGTATCTGCGAAATCACGGGGTATTTTACACCTGATTGCTGTCAACTAGATACTAGGTTTAACGGAAAGTCTTACGACGTTTTGACCAAATTTTCGGACCAAATTTCCTTCACTAATGGTAAGAGGCGCCTCCAATTACAAGGTAATCACAGTTGATGACTAGGACTAGTGCCCATCTTTGCACAGCTTCTCATTACCATTCTCATAGAACTATGATCATGCTCCATATATAATGCAGAAGTACGGCAACTATCATCATACTCTATATATAAAGCAGAAGTTGTCTGTGTGTTTCCGTCGGACCAATAAGGAAAGTAGTGGGCGGTCCGCCGAAGCCAAGCACAAAAATCCTCAAAGGTCCAAAAGTGAGTAAAGGGATTGGAAAAACAGACGAAGGTGAGCAACAGGCCGGCCATTGGAATACGGCAGAGTCCCGCGGTGGGGAAGGTGAGAGCGACAGGGGCAGCGCTCGCTCCGGAGAATTCATCACGGTTCCGAAACACTTGGAAGCGCTCTAGAGAAAAGGGCAAACTTCCGTGAAGAAGATCTTATGTACGCTGGATGTACTAGATGTCTGCCAGGACCCACCTACAGCAGGCGGAGCGTGTCCCTTAGCAATTGGTTGCCATTCCTCAAATTTATGGTTTTGGGCGGATTCGCTGTTCAAACGAGCGAGGCATCCTCACAGTGAGTTGATTCCACAGTGGAAATTCTCACTGTTATAAAGATCGTCCCAATAACATACAACCACTAACTAATGCAGATGTATACCGTCCTCTCCAACAGATTTTCAAAGCCTTAAGCGAAATCGTTCTTACCAAAATTTCGCACCCGCGGTGAGGTAGGTCCGCCCATTGGCTAACGTTCGCTCCAAAGAATTCACTTATCTAGATCTCTTCGGAAACCAAAGAACTGCCATAAAATCAGAGCTTCCTGCGCAGCGAATTCTGCATCAATGTAGGGAATGTCATATATAAAACTTGGAGGGCTCATTTCTAGGGGGGGGTATATATCAGCTCCACAGTTTCAGTACTGTTTTAATTCCTCGCTTTCCTTTCACTAAGAAATACGAGAATACGAGCCGCTCGCGGAGACGCGAAAGTCGCCGAATAACAGAGAACAAGCGAAAACTGTCAGACTCTTGTTAACGAGGTCACATTTGACAGTTCAATATGTGCTTGTATGAAAACTGTTTAGCGAACAAACTTCATAAGGATATGAGACCCGGACCGATGACGTCAATGCGGGAATTTCAGGGACCAAACACCTCAGCAAAAGATGTGAAGAAAGTGTGGGTGCTTTTCTGTTTGCAGTGTTTGTGGTAGACGAAATCTTGGCACTATTTACCTCTTTACTGCCCCAGTCATCCGGAATTGAGCCTGTTCCTGACCGACTTTTTTCTCCGTAGACAGACTTGGTTCAAAGGTAGACCCTAGCTGGAGTAGTATGACCTCCTGAACACGAATATCACATCCGCTTAATCCGAAACCTCCTGGCGCCAGAGGAGCCGATGACCTAGGATATTTTAGCGTCGCCACCTGTGGCGCGGGTGCCAGGAGGTTCTGGCCAAGCAGATGTTTTATTCATGTTCAATAGTTCAAATTGCCACAGGGGGCAGATTTCTAGCTAAGTCTACCCATGGAGAAAAAAGTCGGTCAAAAACTGGCCAGATTTCGGTGTGATTGGGGCAGTAAAGGGTAAATAGTGCCGAAATCTCGATCAGTTCCTAGTTCTGATCTGTTCACTGCCTGAGCCTGCATCATTCAGTGTTCCTTCTTTGGATCCTGAACTGCAGCAACTGACTGATTCTGAGTCAATCCCACGTTTGACTGCTTTGTCTGAGCACGTGGGTTACGTGCCACCCGAAGGCGTCAAGGTTCGAGCCGAATGTCATGACACTGGCATGAACATTACCTTTAAGCTGGATGGCTCTAACGAGGCAAATTTTACTGAATTTCTGAGTATTTCTGCTGAGGCGGTGAAGTAAGGAGCGGTGATTTTAGAAATACACGGGCGCCATTTATGCAGCAGAACGTTTCGAACAATGTCGAGTGTTCGTTCGATCGTCAAGTCGATTTGCGATCTTCATACCACGACCGCAACACAACACATGGTGTAATGCGCTTGAAATAGTGAGTTCAGCCCTCTTTATTATAATATGACAACTATCTGAGCTATCATAAATAAATGGATAGACTGTAAATTAATAGGTACTTCTGGCAATGAATCGTTTGAGAGACGCGAACTACAGTTCGCATGTCGCTACTACGGCACAGTCTGGCCTTGGGGAGTGTGTCCGAGGAAGGGATCCCATCCAAAACGCAAGTCGGCCGGGCGGCGTAGAGCTTCCTCACCATTAGAAATGGTTGAATTACCACGTCGAAAACAGAAGGATGGGGGAAAGGTGGTATTTAAGGTAGCATTGAACGGGAAAAAACCAACAACCAGAAAAAGTATCCAGGTCCAATCTGACTCCATCTCCCCTCCAGTGATCAAATACTGGAGGGGAGATGGACTCTCACCGCCTACTTTGAGAAACCCATGTGCAACGTGCTCTTATAAACAGCCCGAGTTGCAGTTACGCGGCGAAGAAAGCATTGTAAGCGGGAGCATTGCGCTAAATTCCGCATGGTACTGATTGGAAGTGCTGCGCTGTGCCAAATCAACCAGCAAGGATACAGTTTGTGTCTGTGTCTGTGTTCGATGACTCAATTCGGTCAACGAGACAAATCTCCAACCATCCATTTGGAACTACAATTTCATGTTTTGAATTTGGTGCTCCCGAAGCGTCAAGATTATCTGAGAGTTCAACCACAAAATGAAATTTAGAAGCTCTTGTTTCCAAAAGTGAACACGTTGACATATCAGACTTTTTTCGAGATTTCGTTTAGTCACACTATTATGTTAGAACAAGAAATTCCATTACACAGGACAACATTGTCTCGGCTGTCATAGTGATGTCGAACGATCGAGTCCTGCCTCACGACGTCACCACCAAAGATGATCTCTTCTTCCACGTCACCTGTAACTATACTGCTACTACGGTCAACGAAGTTAGGCAAGGAATCGTTGTCGGGTGAGATTTTGAGTGTATCAATGAGAAAATGCTAGACCACATACTAAAAGCTAAACCGACAGCCGCTCAATACTTGGAAAGCCTCTAACCAGGAAAGGTCAACAGGTCAGCCTGGCCATTTCCAATGAGCTGCACACCGTTGTACGCGTCTTGGGACAGTGAACTCAAATCTACCTTCAGAATTTGCGGAACGATTCTCTGAACGGAGTTATGGAGGGTCTTATCCCCGCGTGGTCGTTTCACATGCTATCGCGAGGAAACGTGGAAGCGTCTTTACATTTATGTATGGAGTCATGCTGAAACGTGGTAGTAGAGCGCAACGGGTAGGGAGCGGGTTTCTTAGGCGAGACGTCGTAGGATCGGTTCCGGGGCAGGTCGCTTTTTTTGCATTTGTCCAAGAACATAGCCGACAAAGCTTCTAACATCTCTGCTCGCCTGCACTACCTATAAGGGAACCTGCGATCAGTTTTTTTAAAGTGTAGACTCATTGTGGCCTGAAGGAGTGCTTCTGCTTGTACCCCTCGTAACACGTGTCACAAGGGTTTTTGCAATGAAATACCATCATATTCATGTTCAGCGGGTTAAATTTACCCTAGGAAAGTTTTACTACCCGAATGCTGACTTCGACTCATTATTGGAAAATGTGGGCTCTCCATGGTGGTAGGTAACTGAGCACCTACGATTACTGTCTCGAATGGATTTCCTCCGATAGTCAAGAAAATGATGCAGACGGCACAAATAAGTAAGCCAGGTACTGTTGTTTGCAAAAAGACATGACTGAAGAGTTATTTCAGTTCGAAGCCAGTCATCACCAGTATGCTAGTCATAGTATCGCTGTTAGCTATCAGTCAGCCATGACTATCCATACCCCTTTTTTTGAAGTTGAGCCAGAACCTCAGATTTTTTGGTAGGTCTCGTCTACAGGGTTATTTGAACCTCTTGATGCGAATATGATACCTATTTTGCGCGAGGAGCGCTGTGAGTCGCGCTACAGGTGCCAACGCTTCGGCGCCAGCGCGCCCGGAAGAAGAAAAACAGTAAAAAAACCTCTCTAACTCCGCTCAGAGAATCGTTCCGCAAATTTTGAAGATAGTTTTGAGTTCACCGTCTCAAGACGGGTACAACGATGTGCATCTCATTGCAAATGGCCAGGCTGACCTGTTGACCTTTCCTGGTAAGATATTAGGTGCGCATGTGAACCGCTGACTCATTTACAACCGCTAACTGCTTTATTAGCTTGTGCATTTGAAAGCTTCACTACAACCTAGGGTTCTTTTATCCCTCCAGTAGAGCTCAGTATTATTTGGCAAACAGTTCACAGCGGAGTAAAGGAGTAAAGCAGCTGGTGGGCAGTATAGGATTCGGATTGAGATCTGATTCAAAGTCTATGTGGGTAGCAATTCCACCAAAAACTGCTGGAACACATTTGTCCTGGGTGCGAAATAATGTTCACTGGGTGGTCTGCCGAATGGTTATACGAAGGTTACTAAGTGCTACCGAGTATATTCTCAAATGTTTGGTAATTTGGCCCCTTTGAGTATTCTCGACGTTGATCAGTCCCATATGCAATTCCTCACACGTGCTACTGTCTGATCAGTCCAGGACATCCAAGGGGCGGCGCCACCAGCATTTTTAGCTGGTTGACTGGACCCATCACTTTGACATCAAGTCAATGACTTTTGCCACTACACTTCAAGTACCATCCATTTTACAAGCTTACGTGAGCCTCCACGGTCTGGTTGATCTGACGTCAAAGCGCTACGACGAGTCGAATGGATAGGAGGGGAGGAGTGTCGAGGTGTCTCCTGGGATGTGATGAACCACAGCTGCTAATTTCATTAGCAATCATGAACAGAAAATATATCGACCCCAATCAAGAGAGTTGTGATCCATCTCAAAAGCGCTGTCCACGGTGTTTATTGGACGGAAATATGGGAGGGCACTTCCACCTCTCCGCCAGCTTCCTCATTGGCACCCTGCCTTTTTCTGTCTCAAAAGCAAGAAGCCTGTGAGGAAGAGACAGTGGTTCGATCATTCCGCTTGGCTCTCTACCCGTACGACCGGTGTGGACCCAGGGCACGCCATCGCGTTGTGATAAATTTCTGCCAAAACGACTGCCTCCCCAAAAAGAAGGGTCCTGATAAGCTCCCCCCTGTCCGCTGCTAACCTACTCTGATAGGCGATGATTCCAGCAAACAATCATTGATCTGCGACCACATAAATGCTTATTTGCTGGCAGATCCAGATAAGGGTACCAGCACTGAGTTGTTTACCTGCCATTAAATAAACAGTTCAGTCAGGGCACAGCATTCGATGGGGATTTTGGTCGAGCCTGTACGACCCCCCCCTTTTTTGGGGGTTCGGTACGACCCCCCCCTTTTTTTGCCGTTCGGTTTTTTTCGCCTTAAATGAAACTATGAAACGCCCACTATGAAATTCTACTTGTATGAAGGTGCCCATACTAAATGGACGACTTGAAGTCATCATGATAACAATAATAGAACAATACACAGATGATGATTGCAAACAAAAAACGGTACAATCGTATTATGAGAAACTCGTATGATGAACTTCTTCGATGGCCGTTTTGAAAACACATGGTAATAATAACGATGTATCGCGATTAAATTCAATGAGCATTCGGTAAGACCTTGAGTGGACTCCTCTCTTTGGGAGGCTATTCGAGCGGCACCACGAGTTGTTACAACGGTTCTCTTTTCCCAAGATTTTTGGAGGGACGGACCTGTTTTACGGTTTCCTTCTTCAGCTGTAGGTAGCGTTCAGACTTCGCGACTGCAGCGGTTCGATCGCGCGATTCAACGATCGATGCACATGCTTTCGACCACATCGATCACGTCGAACGCGCGACCGGAAGCGCTGCCATCGCGAAGTCTAAAACGCTGCCTTAGATTTGCATGGCGAGAAAAGAGTAATAGATTAGGGCTTGTCATCATTACGTGACAGGTTAAACAAACCGCCGTGAAAAATGCATGACGCAGTATACCCCGATTATGTGGAAGTACAAGACAAAACGATGTAGTCAAGCCGGAAGCGCCGGTAGCAAAAGCGCATTGTAAATTGGCGCGTGAGTGACTAATACGCCGAGATTTATTCGGCAATTTTAACCATGATGTGAGGCTGAGAACTTGCGCACCGACATGAGATGTGCGAAGTGTTTTTGCGTGCTATACTTGAGACCATACTTCCTCATAAAGCGGACTGAGCTTGCATTTTAGGGAGAGCGACCGCACTCGTGAGCGGAAGTGAAGAGATGTTGCACATCCTAAACAAGTACTCTTACCTTAAAAGATTTATGAAACCGTCGCGAAACCACAGAGAAATTCGCCATAGGGAATTCGTTGAAGAACGCCACGGAGGAGTGATTTCATACACACAGCATTTTCTCCCGAACAGGTTTGAATCATATATTTTTTTTTGTAACTGCAACATTCAGAAATATTGAGAATTTGTCTTTTCGTAGTGTTTTAAGCATCTTTTTTCTACTTTACTAAAACACCTCTGAACTGTTTCTGAAGCTTCGGGATTTTTGCGGGATTCATGAGATGCTGCGCGTATGGGGATTTTCTGGAAGGAAACGGTCACTCCCACTTGTGGCGCGAAAAAACCCGTTCACTGACTTACGTCCTGTACGCGTTCCCAAGTGGAGCGTGTTTCGAATAGCCGAGTTTTGGCAACGCACTGTTAGAAACGTATCCTGTCTCGCTGGAGCAGTGGACGCAGGATCATGTGTTCGTTTTAGCGCGATTCACGCCAACTTTTGGATGGCCAGCGCACTTGCGCCACTGAGGGCTCCGCCCGCAGTTTTGGGTTGGATGGGGATTTGGTTTGAAACTTTGTGGTTGCAAGCGGCTCGGCGGGGGGTGGTGGCGGCGGGCGCCAGCACGGGTATTCCAGCAATCGCAGGCGCTTGCTGCTTCCGGCGAACTGGGGGTTCTGCGACAGGGGCGCGGTCTCGCCGGGGTGAACAACACCCGCAGGAGGCGATGGCCTTGCGCCACCCGCCTGGCCCCTGCGGTACGCAAGTGAACAGGCACTTTATTAAGCGTACTGTAGTGGCGAGAGGTGCCGTTTAGGCTGGTCTGCACGGCGAGCAAATGTGTCGGGCAGGATCAGGGAGGTCCAGTGGCGAACCGGTGCTGGAGAACAATGTGGAAGCTTACAATCTTTATGGACGAGAAATCTGACCCGTTGACAGATTGTACGGGAATTTCCGTTCGTAAGGGGTTCGAGCTAGCTTCTTGTTACTCATGGTGTTTTCCGGTTGCGTATGATGGAACATGTCCCTGTCGACGCTGCCAGATTCGTGCTCCGCCAATTGCTGACTCCGATAAAGGAGACCAACTGCTGGAAAACGTCTGATATGAACGATATGGTAGTCCTGTCGCTTGTCGAGAAAAAAACAGGTTGGCTCAGCGCCAAGCGTGACCGCGGACACGCCATATCATTGGCAGCGAACCAGAGACTGTTTGTACTGTTTAGTCACCAACGGACCTACGAGATGATGTCGACTTATTAATATTTGCAGTTATTTCGGATTAGTTTGATGAATGAAAGTTTTGTACTATTTTTTTGCATATCCGAGTTCTCTACAAAGCAAGTTTCGTTGTACAGGACTCAGCACATTGACAATTTGCGCTGCTCGTTACTGGCTGCCGCACTCACTACGACCCCCCCCCTCTCCTGGCGGCCAAATACGACCCCCTGTTGGGGATTCCCCAACCAACGATGTGCCCTGAATTCAGTGCTGATGTCTTCATGTGGCATCAATCCGACAGCAGTGGAAAAATGAAAACATTGAAAAAAAAATGGAAGATCTGCGAAAACAAACGTCAAAAGAAAGACGAGAGGGTTATCAGGGATTAATGTGAGGAGCACGGAGAAAATGAGATCATTTCACGAAAGGATGCAGTAGGTTGAGAATAGAATGCATTGTCAGCACTCGAGTATCAATTGTTCGCGGCCATCCAGAGTTGCAGTTAGAAT